TTAGGTCCCAATATAGTATGGCACCCGTATAAAAAAAAAAAACTTAAAAATGGATTCTAGTTTAGAGAATTACCCATATATCCTACCTCTTCAGGCTTCATTATTTATATGCCCTCAAACCCACACCCCTAAACCGAAATCCCTACATCCTGGTTTTGTTTTTATATAAGTCCTTCAAAAAGGTAAGTTGTACGGGTTTTTTAGGGCTTTGGCGTTCAGGGGTATAGGAGTGACATGTTTAGGGCTTACGGTTTACAAGCTTTGGGTTTAGGGTTTAGCAGGATTTGGAGTTTAGGATTGAGGGTTTGGCGTTGAGGTTTAGGGGTTTAGGGCTGAAGCTGCGATTTCGATTTAGGTGTAATTCTAGGCTTGCATGTTCGACTTCTTGCATTCATGGTCCCGGTTGGTCTCTTGCGCTCGTAGCCCTGAGGGCCTTCACTGGTTTCATATAGGGGCCTTAACATTTAGGATTAGGGTTTGGGGTATATTATACGAGAACTGTCATAAGGAACCCCCCTTAAACCCTATTCTATAATTATTAAGGCCCAAACCCTAAACCCTAAACCCCTAAACCCCTAAACCCCTAAACCCTATTCTAATTATTAAGGCCCCTACATCAGGGGTTTTTATCGGGTTTAGGGGGCCTTAAGCCGGCTTCATCAGGGCCTTGAGGAGGTTTGAAAAAGGGCTCCCTCCCTCAGATTCTAAAGGGTTTCGGGTTTAGGGTTTAGAGTTTAGAGTTTAGGGTTTAGGGTTTAGGGCTTAGGGTTTAGGGTTTAGGGTCCCTCAGATTCTAGACGGGCTTTGCCTAATCCCGTAAAGTCGGCGGCTAAACCCTAAAACCCTAAACCCTATACCCCAAAGCCATGAACCGTGAACCCTAAACCCTAATCCCTCAACCCTAAAACCCTAAACCCCATACGTACCCTAAAGCCATAAACACTAAACCCTGAAACCCAATACCTGAACCCAACAACCCAACAACCCTAAACCCTGGAGTCAAGAATTTCGGATCCCAGTTGCCCCTGCAGGCTTCATCAACGTCACCAGGAAACTCAGGGTCTACAAGAAGGCGCCAAGATTCCTGCATTCCCTGGGCGCACCTTAGGAACCAGTTCTGATTTCATGTGTGTAATAATAAGTTACTAATTGCTATGTATCATGTCTTGATGCTTGTTGTACGATGCGTCCCAGATTGTGTTGGACATATGATCTCATATGGATCAAGAGGACTCATGATATTTGTTATACTATCTGCTGCGAGCTTTGTGAAGGGAGATGTCCACACTCAAGTTCGAGTGAAACACCGTCAAGTACTCAACATACGCAAGATATGACACGAAGTCAAGTGGTGGCTTTTGTAAGTCGGGAATTTGTTCGTTCTTCGAGTCTTGCAGCACGGTGTCCAGTTCGAAGAGGGTTGATGGGAGTTGGGAGCGCGCGAGCCATGGAGTCGAATCCAAAATGCCTAGGGTCTCACGGCAAGGGCATGAAATATAGAAGCCTAAATAATTACCAATAGTGTTTTGGTGGTTTCCTTATGATTTTTATTATGATGATTATGATTGGTAGTATAATATACCCCAAACCCCTATTCTATTTATGAAGGCCACTATATTTGCAATGTGCGCCTCAGGACTACTACTTTGTCGTTTGGGATGTTGCATTCGGCAGTGTTGAATCTAATCAGTCTCCTGTTGGTTTGTAGCTCAGGACACAAAGGCGCAACACAAAGCAGATGGGGTTTAGGGTTTAGGGTTCGATCCTGGTGCCCTTACTGCATACCATACAAGCGCACATGTTATGCACAGGCTCAGCCGGTGCACGCATCCTGCAACAAAGCAGTCGCAAGCCCTCCGCCGAACCCCTCCAACATGTGTCCTTAATTTCACATGACATGCTGCGTAATTGATCGGTCTAGCAGTTCTTGCAACCTATAAACTCTACATAAGCTCAAACTGCTCCATACCAACGAATAGAGGGTGTGGGGACTGTCTTGATTTCTCTGCGGTGTTGCGCGCTTGGCTGCAGAGATTGTAAATCAAAGCTGTGGTTTTGGACAATGTGTAAGCTACGGAAACCCTAGACCATAAACCCTACCTATCCTAAACCCTAGGACCCTAAACCCTAAACCCTGTAAATACTTAAAGCGACCCCCCAAAACCATGCCATTGACAAGAAGATGAGCCTTCAGGAAGTCTATTGGGACCAGGATGGCACTCTTACGGGAACGCCCAACTCGCAACATGGCCATAGGCTTTAGAGGGGTTGAGGGTTCAGGGTTTCGGATGCTGGTTGTTTTGCTTCTAGGATTGATATAGGGGCCCAAATCATTACCAACACTTTTTTGAGGGGGTTCCTTGTTACAGTTTTTGTAGAATATACCCCAACAACACCCTATTCTAATTATTAAGACTCC